GGAACTTACTTTAAACCCCGACTTCCGAAACCAAATTACCCCAGAATGACTTTTCTGACAAATCCATTTCAACGGAAAATTGCCAATGGGCTTAAAAAAGGAGCTTATGATTAATAAGTGCATCGCTTTTGGAAGTTTGGTGAATCACCTTTTAAGTTTGGTGAATCACCTTTTAAGTTTGGTGAATCACCTTTTAAGTTTGGTGAATCACCTTTTAAGTTTGGTGAATCACCTTGGAAGTTCGGTGAATCACACTACGGGGCCTCCGTACATCTCCGAGCGAAACATTTTTTATAGCTGCAAATTTGTTAGCTTTAGCAATGAAATCTTAAACTGAAAAAGCCGAACTGCTTTGGAAGGGTTTTTATTAAGCCGATTTAATCTCGAAAATTTATAAGATATGGCTTAATGGAATTAAAAGCACATTCTTAGAAACGGTCAGCTCAAAAAGTTGATTTAAAGGTTAGGTAATTTATTTCTGTTATATAAAAAATATATAAGACTTACCAAGTAACTTTATTTCCGTCATAACTGATAAAAGTGTCATCATCACCTTCACTCAGGTTTTGTATTATCTTGATTACATTAGAGGCTGATTCTCGAGGAGTGATTACTGGAACCGGGTAGCCTTTTTCATTGACAAAAGTAACAAACTGATCACCCATATCAGTTTCAACAAGACCAGGATGCACTGCAAATACAATTGACTTTTGAATATGATCCAAATCGGAAGACTTATGGTCAAATGCAATATGTCTTACAATATGATTCAAAGCAGCTTTGGATGAACCGTAATGGGATGTTGGAACAGAGCAAAAATTATTGACATAACCAGCTATAGAACTAATAAAAATGAATTTTTTAGCAGTTTCTGAATTGGCACTCTTTGACCAGTACGGAAAGATTGATTGGTACACTTTCACTGAACCAGTTGCATTGACCGTATAATGTTCATTAAGTTCAGCCTCAGTGGTTTGTAAAATAGGTTGAATGGTGTCTATACAGATAGCAGCATTATGGATAACAACATCGACCCCATCTGGAGCGTACTTTTCAAGAGGCAGCAAGTCTCGCTTCATTGTTTCCAAAGGAGAAGCCACATCGTATTCGATTATATGAAGATTTGAACGATTTAAATCTTTCAAAGCAGTGGCCTTAGCGAAAGAGCGAGTGGTAGCAATTACATTGTTGTTTGGATCTTCAGAAAGCTGTTTAGCGAATTCAAACCCAATTCCACGATTGGTTCCGGTAATAAAGTAAGTAATAGTCATTATGGATCTGATAATTGACTGCGGTTCATCTCTACGAACTTCAAAACCAATTTATATACCATA